TTTCTCAAGAGAAAATGGCGAATTCTCCTTATGGGGAAGTGTTGGTGCACCACTCCGGTAGCACCCACTTGGAGGTCAGCTCCTGCCTCCCTGTTGCACACACACTGGGTGAGTGTGGCCGTGTAGTGGAAACAGAAGGGAATTGCAGCCCAGGCTAATCTTGCTGTTGGCCTCAGTGAGAGGAAAAATGTTTCTGGAGCTTCTGTCTGCTTTGGCGAAACTCTGAGTATTTTAATTATTTTAGTTCTTGTTATTTGCTGCTATTATTAGACTATATTTTAAATGTTGAGTTTATGAGTTTCTTACAGAAATGTCATTAAACTGTGGATGTGGTAATATTCTTCAAGTTGTAGTCTTGAAATCTGTTAATAAGTGTCCTCAGGAATGATAAACTAGTGTGGTGTGCGATTGTGATCTATGGGGTTTTGAGGATTTAAAGAAAAAGTTTGAAACAGTAAAAGTTTTATCATTAAAAATGGGAAGAGCAGGAGCTGAGGGTTTCCAAGATGTACTTGGCATAATGTAGTAAGAGACTAAGAATACTGATGTAACATAAAATGTTTTCATTTTAGGGACCAAACTTGCTCAGGCAAAAAAGTTTAATGACCCCGATGATCCATGCAAAATCCTGGTTGCAACAGATGCAATTGGCATGGGACTTAATTTGTAAGTAATTTGTTTTTAATAAGCAAGGATATTCTGTAAGTTAGATGGCAATTTTTTGTTTTTCAGTTTTCTAATTGGCTTTAATGACCAAACTTTGATTTAGGAGAATAAATATTATAGTATAGATTGAGATTTATCTTGTGAACACCTATTGAGGAAATGAAAAGAAGATATTATGTAACACTAGGACTTTAGAGTGCTGTCCCCACTGCTGCTACCCTGTCATATCACCTCACTTTATTTTCAGTCTCTCAGTCAACAGGTGTCCGAGTGCCTATTTTGCATGTGGAGCTACCCGTTACCTCTAGTGATAACAATGTTAAACCTATTCCATTCCTGTGTGAATATGTTAAGAAATAATAATAATAATAATAATTAAAAAAAAGGTTAAGCCTAAATATTCCTCTTTAAGTAATTAAGGCAACTATACTTCTATGAATCAAAGAACTATTATTAAAAGCTGTTTTTAATGGCACCCAACTTTTAAAAGCAGTATGGGAACACTTTATTGGGGTTATTTGTTAAAAAGTCATTTTCTGTAGCTTTATTGGAGTATAATTTATATA